CCTTTTTTTTTTTTTTTTTTTTAATGTATTTGGTACAGGGTTTCACTCTGCAGCTTGGACTCATAGTGACCCTCCTGTTTTCAGCCTCCCCAGTGCTGGGATTCCAGGTGTGTGCCACCATGCCTGGTCTCCATGGCTGGCTCAGTGTCCCTGGGGCAGGGCCAGTGTGGCATGTGGTGTTGGGAGTTGAACCCAGGACCCTGTGCTTGCTTTAGCAGGCGCTCAGTTCACTGAGCTATCTTGCCGGCCCAGCAGTTCCTTTTTGAGTAGCGCTCTGCCCTGTTGGGCATCCTTCTTTGGAAGCTTCCTGCAGGGTCCCTGGTCCAGTCAAGGCTCAGCTACCTATCAGTTGTTACTAACATGAAGAATCCTGCATAATTTGTAATTAGAATAGTGATTGCTTTTCCAAAAAGTTAGATTTTTAAAAATGTTGATTTTTGGTCTTCTAAAATATCACTCAATTTATAAGCTCCAAATGATACCTTTTTCTTTGTCTGTGATTTTAGGGACGAGAAGGTGCAGAGATTGAACCCTGGGAAGATGCTGATTATCTTGTTTACAAAGTCACGGATAGATTTGGCTTTTTGCAGTAAGTTTTATAGGTTGAAAGCTCACATTTTTTATTATAATGTTGATATTATATTGATTTTATTTTTAATAAAAGTTCTGTGAATAAGATTCCAGGAAGGACTGTAGAACATGCTTTTTTTGGTACTAGGTTTCTGGTGTTTTTAACCTCTGTGATTAGACTTGAACTATACTTAAGAATCTTTAGTATTTTTTGAGTTTTGATTAAGAACATTTAATTCAGTAAATTTGTACTAATAACATAGCAGAATTAAATGCACACGCTATAATGATTTGTACTTTTAAAACAATTGCAAAATATTTTATATGTGCATTTAAAATATAATTAGTAATTAAAACATTAGTGTTAAGCAGTCTAAAAATGAGCTTTGTAAAGAAATGCCATTGATCTTCCTTATAGCTATAAATGCAGTAATAATAGCACTTCTCAAAATTAGTTCCATTTATCCTGAATATGTTTGTTTTGTTTTGTGTTTTTAAATGAATTTAAGACAGGGTAGGGTCTCACCATGTATATTGAACTTATAGTGATTTTCCTGTTTTCAGCCTCCCAAGTGCTGGGCTTAGTGCCACACCGCCCAGTCCAATCGCTGTCTCAGCGCACCCCAGGGGTTGGGAGGTGGCACAGCACTCCCAGGATCAAACTCTAGCCACTGCACTCTGCTGCTTATGAAGAATTGAAAGAGGGCTAGACAACTAAGTGGTTACAGTGACTTTAACTCTTAAAAACAGTCCTATAACATGAGATAAACCCACTTATTTTGGTTCTGCACTGTTAAATCAGATTCCCACAGGCCAAAGACTTCTATTCATCTCAGTACTTTGTTTACTTCCATGCAATTTAAGATTAAATTAACTGGGGGGCTGGGGAAATAGCTCAGTAGAATAAGTGCTTCCCTGGCAAGTGCAGGAGCCTGAGTTCAATCCCCAGATCCACCAAAAAAAAAAAAAAAAAAAAAGATTAACTGAATTTTTATTCAAATTTATTCTTTTCCAGCTTTGTTTCTTGTAAGTATGGAAAGACTAAAAATTTAAATTTTATAACATGATTTTTAAAACTCTTTTTGAGACAGAGTCTTGTTGTGCAGGCTGGCCTTGAACTCGCTTTGTATTCCAGGGTGGCCTCAAACTCTCAACAGTCCTCATGCCTCAGCTTCCCGAGTGCTGGGATTGCAGGTGTGCACTGCCACATCTAACCTTTATAATATGTGATTAAGTTTGAAGGAAAAAATTTCTTTTATAGTTCATAGCAGGAGCTTATACTACTCAGACCTGATGTTCTCCAGCTTAGCTTTTTCCTGTTTTTAGAAATTATTTTGTTGTATAGTTTTTGAGGGTCAAGCAGACAAGCAGTACTAAGAGTTAGAGGGAATGTGCCATGTTTGTGGCTTGCTGGTCTGTAGTTCATTAATCATTTCATACTTAATCTGAAAACAAGAATTAGTAATTACTTCACATAACTTCAGTGTTTGAAAAAATATATGTAAGAAACTTTTTTTTTTTTTGTACCAGGAATTGAACTCAGGCCCTTGCACTTGCCAGGAAAGCACTTGTGCTGCTCACCTATATCCCAGCCCAGAAATTTTATAAAGTTGTGGACAAATGTAAGATATTATATACCTAGTGAGATTAGCATATCTGAAACTTTCAAGAAGTCTTTGAACTTCGTTGACCTAACAATGTACTTGCTTATAATGTAAATATTGTTAAATTAAACTCCCACTTAAAAAAGTCAGCTTTGACCATAAATGTGACAGGAAATACTTATACATTTGTGTGGGTTAATATGCAGATCTGGGATAATAGGTGAAGTTTTGAAGGACAATTTGTGCAGTAAGACTGTTAAGGTCAGTAGGTCCCTAATTTTTCTGCATTTTAGTGTCATCTGGGAAATTAAAAAGATTTCTTTGTTCTAGGTTAGATTTCTTCATTCTAGGGTTATACCCAGAAGATATAACCCTACTTATTTTGACTTTCCAAATATTTCTGATGAGATTGAACCACTAGAATATTTTTTTAATCATGTAATTTTTCCAATACAATTTTAAGTGCATATGAAAATTTGTGTAAAATATCTTAAAGGGTCTATTAATTACCTTTTTTTTCTTTTTGCTTGAAATAACATGAAGTGAGCCTTAAAAACAAGAGCTTCTGACCAGAAATCCTACCCTGTATTTGAAAACCCCAAAGTTGTAGCCAATTGTTTGATATTTCTTTTTTATTCTTTGGGTCTACTATGAAAAAGTCAATACTTTACCTTAAAACTATTAATTAACATCCATTGAATGCTTCCTGTGTGCCAGATACTGTTATTCAAAATCTGTTATATAGTTAAACTCATTTATTCCTGTTAAGAACTGTAGAATAGGCTCTCTTTTTTTATCTCCTTTATTGTAGATAACAAAACTGAAACAAAAAGAGATGCAAGTTGTACTGCAGGGTCAATTCTAGGATGTGGACTGTGATGGTGTCACTGCAGGGCTTTCACTACTATAGTGTAGTGCAGGTGACTGCCTCTAGTGTTAAAATAGGAGTACAGCATAAGTGGTTGGAAATAACTACAAAAAGAATGAGAAGGGGTGTGGGAGGAGTGTCCAAAGAGGATACTTCACCAAATAGCTCAGCGGATTAAAGCACCTGCAAGCAGGTGCAGGGGCTGGGGATTCAATCTCCGGGCCTGCCATGCCAGCCCCGGGGAGCACTGAGACAGCAATTGAGACTGGCATGGTGACCCATGCCTGTAATCCCAGCTTTTGGGAGGCTGTAAACAGGCAGATCACTACGAGTCCGATCTAGTAATGGAACCCTGAACACCCTGTAGACTCTAGCCTAAAATTAAAAAAAAAAAAAAGAGGAGGGGATATTTCTGTTACAATATATTCTATTTGATGATCACTTAGGTGATCATTTTTACTACGGTATATTCTAAGATAGCTAGGTTCACCACCCTTTTGAAATTGAACTAGATTGGTTCTTAATACTGTTCACACTCCTTTTTGTCTTTACTTTGTGATGCAGTCCTAGAGCAGACAGCACAAATGAAAATAATGAACCATAGAAATGGATTTTAATATAATATTACACTTTATTAAATTTCACCAAACCCATTGTTTTTTTATTATAATGCCTAGTTGTAGTAAAACACTTTCTCTAGAGATTGCTACTAGTGGGGTTTTATGACATGTCACTGTAGACTGAAGTTGTTTGTAGGACTGAATAAAGTCACGACATAGGCAGTTAGATATTACCCTGTCACATCTTGATCAAGCATTTTTTTCTACTGTCTTAGTTATTTTAAATTTTTGATTCATTCTGTAATGAAATTTGGTTTTAAGTTGAATCCCAACACATTAGAATGACAAAAAAAAAAAATCTTGTAACTTCTTTTGAAGGCCTCTGGGTTCCTATCTTATAATTTTAGAAACTCAAGTTCTTGTTACGATATTTGAAAGAGGGACAGAAATTAACAAATGCAGTAAGTACTAATTTGGTTTTACAGTAGATTTCACAATAAATATTAAAGCTGTTGCCAGACCAGCCTGTCTCAATGTCAGAAGAGCAACATCTTTGTTTAGGTCTCAGTCCTGAGGCATCATCCCCAGGTCTCATGCCTATGAGGGAGTTAAAGCTGGACAACAGAGAAATCAAGCTTGCTTCATCAAAAATAGCTACTGGTCTGCTCAGCAAGAATGCTTGGTATTTGGATAATGTTAACTATTGCTTTTAGTTTATGAGTTATTCATAGTAAAATTGAAAGGAAATTATAACAAAAATAGAGAAAATAAAATTAATATTAAGCATTAGATATTCAACTACTTTTCAAAATTTTCGTATTTGTAAAATTTTGTACAGTCTCAGTTTACCATGAGTAAACTGAGTATACAAATATATGCAAGCTAGAATAAAGGTGTGTTTGTCTTTAAAAATTATCTGTTTTGATTCAAGGAATTGAGAACTCTTTCTACAGTCCTATAAATTTTGGGTAGGTCAAAGTAACAAAAGTTACTTTGTAAACAAAGATAAAATTTAATTAGTATATTTGACATACTGACTTTAACAAGATTTAAGTTTATAAGTGGAAGTTAACCTCACATTCATAGAGATAGTCCACCTGAGCTGTTGAGAATACAGGCATCATGCTTTACTTCACAGTATATTTAAAATTTAATAGTAGATAACAAATATATCCAACTAGTCTCTTTCTCTGGATAATTCTGTCATTGTTTTATTCACTGTATTTCTGTAAGATCTAATTGTTTGCCAGCTTTGTGTTTTCTTTAGCCTTCAGGTGCCCATGAGCCCTTATTCTTGGAAGCAGGGGTTAGCAAACAGTTTATATAAAAAGCTAGATACTGAGGCTGGTGAGATGGCTCAGTGGTCTAAAGCACCTACTTAGAATAAGCTTAGCAAAGCACAGGGACCGCGGTTCAATCCCCCAGCACCACATGCCAGCCAGCCTTGTCCCCTGGTGGGCTCAGCTGCCCCCCCCACACAAATAAATAAAAAAATTTTTTAAAAAAGCTAGATACTAAATGGATTTGGTTTGTGGACCACATGATCTTTATTACAACTGTAGAGCTGGGGAGATAGCTCAGTGGCATACGCACCTGCCTGGCAAGTGCAGGGTCCTTAGTTTGATCCCAGATACCACAAAAAAACCAACCAAGCAGAAAAAGCTGTATCACTCTGCTGCTGTAGCACAAAAACCATAGGCAGGGCCTAAATAAATGGGATGGCATTGTTCCATTATAACTTCATTCACAAAAATAGGCAGTGGTTCAGATTTAATATATGGGCCATAGTTTACTTAACTAAAGAAATTCTCTGCATTCACCTGTATTATAGTCCTTCTGCTTTGCTTGAAGAACATGTGTAGGTGGCAAGGGAAACCTGCATCGATGCGTTTTTGCAGGTATGCATTTGACATTCCTCTGTACATCCAGCATGTACTGAGCTTTTGCAGTGTTCTAAGGTATTTTTTGGAACTCTGAAAATGCTATTCTTCTGTGTTCTTGGAAGGCTGGTAACATTAATGTTTACCATCACAGAGACTAGAGGAAGAAAAGTTCTGTGGAAATCTGTGTCTGCCCACAGCAGATTTGCATAAAAAGTTTTAGGTATAAGAAAAAAGGAAGGAAAATCTGTGTAGGAAAATTGGACCACATTCTTATACTGGGGGCTCAAAATCTTTTTTGTATTTCTCAATGTTTTTCTTCTTGAGAATTGGTTTTATAGCCTCTGTTTCTTCACTTTATATGGTTTGGCACTAGCTGAGTATCTTAGTTTGGATCCGCAAGATGAGATAAAATTGAAGCATTTCTATATTGGACTAAGCAACTAAGTGAAATAGTTTTCTTATCTGAGAAATGAAGGGCTTAGACTCTATTAAGATCTCTTTTGGTGATTGCACTTCTTGGTTAGTTGCTGTGGCTCAGCGGTTCATCTAAGAACTTCTCCGTAACAGCAAAGTGCCTTTAAACATGTTGAATTCTTGAGTACTCTTTAAGTGTACTGTTTGGTTGTAAGAGAAAGCTAAAGCCAAAATATGTTCATCTTGTTGAGAAAACATTAGTACTACTGAGAAAGCTACTGAGTGAAAGCATTTTATTTTATAGATAACACTGTTGTAATATTACTTCTAGTTAATATGAGAGTCTCCAAATATTTTGTATTAGATGTGGTATCATGTACCAGACAGATGACTTTTTTCTTTTGTCTTTTTGAGACATGGTCTTGTTGTGCAGTTCAGACTGGTGTACTTGCTTTGTAGCCCAGGCTGGCCTCAAACTTGCAACAGTCCTTTTCCGTCAGCCTCCCAAGTGCTAGGATTACAGACATGCACCAGTCTTTTTGTACATTTAAAAAAATCTCGAGGTTTCACCAATATTTTCTTTATTGTACAAAACAGAAGTGGGTGTTTTCTTTTTAATTCATAAATCCATTAGAGGCCGTTTTTTAAGCAGACATATATTACAGACTAAAATTGGAGCCAGAAGTGGAGGTGGTGATCTGCGGTACAGGTTGGCAGACTAGACTGGCCTTGGGGGCCTAATTCAGCTCACCAGCCTCTGTTGTAAAAGTTCTGTGGCCACATTGTCATACTTGGTTTACATATTATAGTGGCTACTTCTTCACTAGAACATCAGAATTGAGTACTTATGAAAAAGGCTGTATGGTAGATGAAACCTAAAATACTTGCTGCTTAAATATTTGCTGTGACAAAAAATGTGCTGATTCTGGGGCTAGAGCAGGGTTCTAGAACTTTTTGCACTATACTTTATTTAGTATAGTGGTCTTATCTACATGACTTTCATGCATTTGGACTGCATGAACTACACTGAAATAGCCACAGGTAGTTAATGGCTGCTGTAGAGGGCAGTGAGGTGTGGCTATTTGAGGACATGGCATTGCCACAGAATAGATACTGTTTTCAGTTGATTAACTGGAATGGAAACTTAACTCTTGTGTCCAGTAAATCTTGCACATCACGTATACCTATAGGTATGTAAGTTTTAAAAGTTTGCTTTGATTTCAGCTCTTTGACATATATTATTTTTTGCAGTGAGGAGGAACTCCCATATCATAATGCAGCTATGGAACGGGTAAGTCCAGTTCTTTATTTATAGTTACTGGTGAATTGCTTTTGTTAGAGGTATGACGTTTCCATTGTGATTTTTTAGGGTTTTTTTTTTTTTTTTTTTTTTGTGTGTGTGTGTGTGTGTGTGTGTGTGCGCTCAGGGTCTCACTGTGTAGCTCAAACTCATAGTGGTTCACTTGTTTGCAGCCTCCCTAGTGCTGGGATTACTGGCATGTGCCACCATGCCTGGACTCCATTGCTGGCTCAGTGCACCTGGGTGGGGGGGGGGGTGCGGCGGACCGAGCACAGCATGCCCTTCCATTGTGATTTTGAGTGCTATTTTATATGCAAGATACAGGCATTCTTAGGATTTGCCCCTAATTACATCACTCAAAGAAAGTAAACTAATGGTAAAATCCTTTTAAGGAGTTTTATGAGATTCTGGTAACTTGAAATCAAGGAAACATAGCAGTTCCTAGAAAAGATTTACACTGTGGAATGGTATTCCTTGTCTTGCCCAGCCCCCCCCCCCCTCAGTCTATGGACTGACCTCTCTGGAGTGAGAATTGGAGCAGCTAACTTTTTAAAAGCTCCACAGTAATTCTCATGTGCTGTCGGCTGATAGGTACCATTCTCGTCCAGGAGCTGTACTTTGAGATTCTAATGAATTTCCCACAAATAACAACAAAAGAACATTTTGACATCTTGTCAAGTATCTGAGCATTTTAAGGATTTAGACAAGTGTTATATAGCAAATCTATTTGCCTACTTTTAACTTTTCCTTTACTTGGCAAGGAGCTGTTTTCACATGTAGGTGTTCATGAGAAGTGGGAATTGAATATTTTAAGGTTGTAGAATCTCCTTCTCCTTTCCATTTTTCTGCCCCCCAATTTATAGAACAAAAGCGAGGGTGTCAATCTGTATTGTCTTCTGTTTGTGTGGATGTATATCTAATGGGGTGGGAAAAGAATCTGAGTTTCAGACAATGAAGGTGAACTTGAAATTCAAAAACATATTTTAGAAAATCTAATATCAAAATACTCAAAGTCAAGACTGTAGCAAGTTTAATGTGGAAAAAATTGCCATTTTATGTTTATAGATATCCCTATGGGTACTTCTCATTCTTGAAAGAATACTGTTTCTTTCTTATCATAACCTCGACAGATGCTCTGTCAAAAGTTTCTTTCTTTAATAGCTATATTATTGAGTAGCAGCCATGGGTTCAGTGCTAGACTAATTCTTGCGTAGAATTCTGGGATGGAAGAGACCATGGTTTTTGCCTTAGTGTAAATAGAGGAAGGTCAGGTGATGCAATAGATTTTTGGGACATAGTGAAATGAAATGGTATTCTGGAGGTGAGGAAGATAGATTCCTTACAGCTGAGGGATGCATGAAAAGGAAGTGACGTGATGGTGATCACTTTGTTAATTTTGCTAGTGTTGAACTTGTCAGTCTTTTGTTTCAATTTTTTAAAAAATGTAAAATTTATTTATTTATTTATTTGATACAGGTTTTGCTGTGCAGCTTGGACTTGTAGTGATCCTCCTGTATCAGCCTTCCCAGTACTGGGATTATAGGCGCATACCACCACGTCCATTTTTTGTGGATGGCCTGGTACACCCAGGGTTCCTGCGCCATCTTGGCATGTGGTACCAGGGATCAAACCTGAGTCCTTGCGCTTGCCAGGCAGATGCTTAGACTACCAACCTATCTCCCCAGCCCCTATCAGTCTACTTTAAATGGTAACGAAAGGATGTGCTGTAGTCCTGTAACCATCACCTTTTGTCTAGTTCTGCAACTTGCTTTCTGGCAATTTCTTTCACTCCTCCTTTCTCAGCTTAGGTTCTATTGTAGTCCTTATAGGTGGTCTCCATCTTACATGATTCCACTTACAGTGGAATGATAGTGATAATCAGCTCAGTAGAAAATATATTTGCGATTTTCAATTTTTATCTTTTCCTGAGCTTAGTGCTGAGATCTACCAGTTTTCTCATCCAAGTAACTCTACTCTTCCAGTTATTTAGCCTGAAATCTTCTGACTTTTCTTCGACTTCCTTTCAAACCCTCATCTCTTCTGTCAATGAGTATTGTGAACTCTGCCTTCAGAATGTATTCAGAATATGAGGGCTTTTGTCATCTCTTCTTTTAGCCTGTCCACTCTAACCTCTCTTTTGGAGCTTGCTGTCTTCCTCTTTTTGCCATTGTCCTTTTTCTTCACAGTCTTACTTGTTCACTAAAAAATCAGAATAAACCTATGAAAATGAGTAAGATAATACCACTTTGTGGTCAGAAAACCTTATGGTGGCTCCCTATCTCATCCACTTTTAAAGAGAAGTCCTAAGAATGACCTTCTGAGACCCATAGGAGCTTGTTCCTGGTGGTTCCTTGAACTCACCTCCTTTTACCTCCTCTTTCTCACTTGCTGACTGCTTAGTGTCTCTTGCACATGCTGGCCAGATTCCCTCTTTCAGGTCTTTTGCGCTGGCTGCTTCTCTTTCGGAGTGTCCTTTCTGTGTAGCTCCAGGCTCAGGTCTTCATTTCCTTTAGGTGTCTACTTAAATGTGACTCTGCAGAGTAACACCATCCTTAGTCAGCACTTTAAATTGGGATGGGCCCTCACCCTAAGGTTAAATATCTACCTCCTTTAGTTTTCTCTTTACCACTTAACACTTTCATGTAGCATATGTTGTGTTATTTATTTTGTTAAGATGTAATCTGTATGAGGTTTCTCCCCCATTCCTGTTCTTTTTGTTGATTCCTGTATCACCAGAACCTAGAACAGTGCTTATGGCATATGCTCAGTAAGTGTGGATTGAATGAGTAGATTGATGGGTGGAGGTAATTGACTTATTTATAGCAGTAAATGTGTTGATTGAAGAGGTTGTCCTTACAAATGTTATGGTGTCTTTTATTAGACAAAACAGGAATAGATGTTGGAAGGTTTATTTTTAAACAAAACATACTCATATTTAGCAAGGTAAAAATTTAAAACCCACTATTGACTTTTCCTACAATGGACCCTCACTCTTTTTATAATTTCCTGGCCCATCAGGTCCCCAGTTCTCACCCCAGTAATTTAGATGACTCAAGAAATGTGACAAGGACAAAAGATGAAGTACTGTACAAGGCAGAGCTGTGGAGGATGCAGGTTTAAAACAGGCTGTTTTCTTACATTTTGATTTGCTTTTTAAGAGACTTTAACTTGTGTAATAAGACTTTTTACATAATGTAATTAAGCTGATAATTGGTTGCTTACTTAGAGTAATATTATGGGGAATTGTATGGGGAACAGGTGATCTGTGTAATTTATATTATTTAATAATTCATTTAAGTAAACATTTTGTGGGCTGACCAGATAGCTCAGTGGATTAAAGCACTTGCTTAGGCAGACACAGGGGCTGGGGATCCAACCTTGTGGTGCCAGCCCTGTCCCCAGGGCCCACTGGGTGATTTGAGACTGGGCATTTTGGTGTGTGCCTGTAAGCCAGCTCTTGGGAGGCTATAAACAGGAGGATCATTATGAGTCCAATCGCATAGTGAGACCCTGTACTAAATTTTTAAAAAAAGTCATTCTTTTGCCAGGGCAAGATCAGGATTCTGAATTTACCAGTTGAGATTCTATAAGGCTTTTCAAACATCAGCTACATTCATTGCATTTCCATTTGCAATTTTGGCTTCTTTAAAGTTGAATGAGAATTTAGTCCCATGTAAAACATTTGAAGGCTAAAACTTTTAGTTTATCAGATTTACCTCTTGATTTTTCTGCTTTCAGTGCATGGATTCTCTGTTGAGAATTCATTCTCTGCTTGCTCCATTTATAGAAGACTAACAAATACAAATTTTATTTTGTTTTTTATTTTTTTGGTGGAACTAGGGATTGAACTCAGGCCCTTGCGCTTGCTAGGCAAGCGCTTATTCTACTGAGCTATCTCCCTGGCCCCCAAATACATATTTTATAATTGAGTAAAACCACTACAAATGATAGCCTTGCTGAAGTTTGTAGCTTTTACAAGGCATACACTTGAAGCATGTGCTTCTTGACGTTTGGGGAGAACTGATGTACCAATTCGTAATCAAGTAATTATGGCTTTGGTTCTAGTTTTGGCTATGTAGTGTTTTATATAAGACACTCATTTAAAATAGGAATAGTAATTTTCCCTCATAAGAAGATTAATATTGGTGTTTGCAAAGTATTTTGGGTTCTTCCAAACAGGCTCTTAAGCAAATAAACATTTTATATTTACTCTGTAGAGAACAATAATAATACATTGTTTCTCTGAGCTTATTGATATTTTTAATAAGAAAAGATTATATAGAACTGAATTTCAGAGTCACATGTTTCTTCATGTAGTACAGTATTTTAGGTGATCTACAGACTGTTGGAGCCTGTCATTTCTTTAAACACTATACCTTAATTTTAGGTGATTTGCAGTCTTGCTAGAATACATGATGATAGAACTTAGAAAGTCAAGGTGGTCTATGAAGGACCCATTCCTCCTTGTACTTCTTGTCCTCTCCTGACCTCTGCTGGTGGGAGCTCGGCATGGGCGACATGTCAGTTTTGTCTTCACTCTTGGATTGAATTGTTTGAGGTGAAAAACAAACTGTAGAGATAGGGAAAGCAGAGTGGCTTTTTATATGCTCACATTTCACATAGAATAGAACACTTCTGATCATCAAGAAGTATTTGGATTTTCCCTATACACTAAGCAATTCCCCATTAGAGATTGACTGGGTGTTATGTAATTTAGTTCAATTCTGACACTGACCAGAATTAATACAGATCCAACAGGTTAAGGGCATAGTCTCACAAGACATAAAGATAGATTGAAGCCCCAGGTTGTCACCATGGTTTTGGACTCATAGGCTGTAAATTAGCATCCTCCTCATTCCTCCCTTAGATTTGATCGTTACTAGGGTTGCTCACAGAACTCAAGTGTTCTGTTTGCTAATACTCATGTATTATTCAGAGAAAACAGTTGAGGAAGATACATAGGGCAAGGTACAGGCATATGCACATCTTGC